TATATATATATATATATATATATATATATATATATATATATATATATATATATATATATATATATATATATATATATATATATATATATATATATATATATATATATATATATATATATATATATATATATATATATATATATATATATATATATATATATATATATATATATATATAAATAATTCAAAAATAAGACTACATTTTGTACAGGAATAACAGCACAATCTGTGCATTAAAATAATCCTTTTATTTACTTTATTACTTTGTGATAGTGTAATAATGGCAAATTTATTTTTAGCTGCATAAGTCTTAAATAAAAAGTGTTTTATAATGAAGAAAGGAGATTGATCAAAGTTTACAAGAACTGAAAAGCTACAGTGCTTCACGTTTTCTTTGTGAATTTCTGACTAAAAACTGGACAAAAGGTGGATTGGCTTTCTTGTTGGCAAAAATTGATCACACTGGATCAGTATGTCGTGTGGCGGGGAACGGTCATCCACAAACTGCCCATTGCTGTTAAAAATATCAGTTGGCATTTCTTTGTGGAGTTTGCATGTTTTCCCCGTGTTCCATTGGGTTTCCTCCAGGGGCTCCGGTTTCTCCTACAAGTCCAAAGACATGCAGAACAGGGGAATTTGGTATGCTAATATTGACCGTAGTGTATGAGTGTGTGTGTGTGAATTAGTATGTATGGATGTTTCCCAGTGATGGGTTGCGGCTGAAAGGACATCCGCTATGTAAAAACATATGCTGGATAAGTTGGTGGTTCATTCCACTGTGGCAATCCCTAATTAATAAAGGAACTAAGCTGAAAAGAGAATGAATGAATGAATGAATGAATGAATGAATGAATGAATGAATGAATGAATGAATGAATGAATGAATGAATAGTAAGACTTAAAACCGTCAGCTAGCTCTCTGCAACTTTCACATGGTCGCCAACCAAAGCTGAGCAGAGCTGTGCCTGGTTAGTACCTGGATGGTAGATCACATGGGAAAACAGGTTGCTGCCGGAAGTGGTGTTACTGAGATCAGCAGGGGTCTGTGTGGGTCCTAATGCCCCCGTATAGTGAAGGAGACTCTATGTTTCTCAGTGAGTGCTCTTTCAGATGAGACGTTAATCCAAGGTCCTGACTCTTTGTGGTCGTTAAAAATCCCAGGATGTCCTTAAATAAATAGTAGGGGGTTTAAACCCAGCACCCTGGCCAAATTTGCCCATGGGCCTCTGTCCATCATGTCCCCATTTCATAATTGGCTTCATCACTCTGTCTCCTCTCCACCAATCAATTGGTGTGTTGTGTGCAGTCTGGCACAATATGGCTGCTGTCACGTCATCCAGGTGGATGCTGCACACTCGTGATGGATTAGGAGACTCCCCTCAGAAATGTGTAAAGCGCTTTGAATGTCTAGAAAAGTGCTACATAAATGTAAGGAATAATTAATTATTAGTTTGTTAGTTCGACCGTCCATTTATTTGTTCATTCATTCATTCATTGCCACCCTAAATGCTTACATAAAATGTTAACACACGATCCCGCTGCCTTGTACACTTTTGCAGAAAATGGAAATGTGGTTTAATTTCGCATTCATACTTGGAAAGAAAATCTGACAGTCCTTCTTTCGAGCGTCTCTAGCAAACATGTCACTTGAGGATTTGTTAATTACGGCCAGCTAATGCTTCTCCTCACAGTTTTTCTCCCTGCAGTTTTCTCTTGTTGTTTTCTTTCTTTCCATTAATAATCTTCAGGTTGTGCCAGGTCTGTTATCTACAACTGTGATTCATTTTGTCATTTCAACAAATTAATGTCCACACATCTCCACAGATACGTAAAACCACTCATAAATCTCACTGAAAATTACCTGTTTGCTGTCTGCCGGTGTGATCGATCCTTGGAGAAATCTTATGAACGAACTAAACTTAAATGGTTTCGATGCATTATTAATGCTCAATGCAATGTGCATTTTGTCAGACTAACATACAGTAGCCTCATTTAATTAGAAACCGTGAAAACATTTAAGTGTATTATTCTTTTGAATTAATGAATGTCATACTGTGTTTCCATCTTTACTTTTAGCTTTCAGCAGTTGCTAGGGGGTTTTGTTATGTATATTCTACTTTGTGTTTCTTCAGTAATCTGTCATCGAGCAGAGATGGTATTGTGTTGTATATCAGTAGGATTTACAGCACTGATTTATGTCTCACTGATTACTGATCTTTTTTACTTTTCTTTTTCTTCTATCATATGATAGATAGATAGATAGATAGATAGATAGATAGATAGATAGATAGATAGATAGATAGATAGATAGATAGATAGATAGATAGATAGATAGATAGATAGATAGATAGATAGATAGATAGATAGATAGATAGATAGATAGGATAGAAGTATAGAAGGATATTGATGGATGGATGGATGGATGGATGGATGGATGGATGGATGGATGGATGGATGGATGGATGGATGGATGGATAAATACGAATGAGTATGAATAGATAGGAATGAATAAGGATGGATGGATGGATGGATGGATGGATGGATGATATACTGTATAGACATCAGAATGGATGAAGACATTAATAGAAAGATAGATAATGAATGGATATTTAGGTGGATGAGTAGATATGTCGATATATTAATAAACATAAGAAGATGCTGAAAAGATGGATGGATGGATGGATGGATGATAGAATGTATAGGTAACAGAATAGATGAAGAGAGTAATAAAGATGGATAATAAATTTATATTTAGGTGGATGAGATATGTCGATAGATGAATAAACAAGATGATGATGAAAACTAGGATGGATGGATGGATGGATGGATGGATGGATGGATGATAATCTGCATAGATAGCAGAATAGATGAAGAGATTCATGGAAAGATGGATAATGAATTAATATATATTTAGGTGGATGAGTAAATATGTAAATAGATGAATAAACAAGATTATGTATAGGTGGATATCTAGATATAGTTGGGTGGATAGTTATTGATGGATTTGGATGAATTGAAAGATGCATAATATGGATGGATAAATGGCCATGAACAGACGGATGGATGGATGGATGGATGGATGGATGGATGGAGGATAGACTTTATAGATAGTAGAATGGATGAAGAAATAAAAAAGGTGGCTAATAAATTGATATTAAGGTGGATATGTAAATATGTAAATAGATTAATAAACTAAAGAAGATGATGGATGGATGATAGACTGTATTGATAGCAGAATGGATATAGAGACAGAAAGATGGATAAAGAATGAATATTTAGGTGGAAGAGATAATATGTAGATAGATGAATAAACATAACATGATGAAAAGATGGATGGATGGGTGGATGAAGGGATGGAAGGATGGATATATATATATATATATATATATATATATATATATATATATATATATATATATATATATATATATATATATATATATATATATATATATATATATATATATATATATATATATATATATATATA